GGGGGGGGGGGGGGTGTACAAAATAAACCTTGATAAAGAGACAGTAGGTTTGTGCATCAATTGAGAAGATAATATATGGGAAATTCTTAAAATGAAAAATTTTAAATAACATCTATTTCTCTTTAACCATAAACTAATGGTAATAGTAGATGTCATAGTATAAACGCCATCAATTCAAGGAATCTAGAACAGGACTAAAATGGTATAAATTAAAATAAAGAACTAAAAGATGAAAATGATACAAATAAAATGTAATAGACCAAACTAACTTTTATATATATATATATATTAAGAATCCCTTAAACAATCTTTTCACAAAAGTTTAGGGGACTTGGGCCCTTTAAAGTCCCCTTCTATCATCCACCTATGCCAACAATGACTGTCTTCATCTCCGGCAGTAACTATGGTGGTCGGTGGGGTTGGCAAGGTAGCTTTGTTTTTGGTCTTTCATTTGGTTCTGACAGCAGAGGTAGGGGCTCTGGTGGCTCAGACAAAGGGGTGTGATGAACAAGCACTGATCCGTTTGTTTTGAATTCAGCGATGGAATGACAGTCCAATTCTGTTTTGCTCACATCCATGGCAAAAGAAGGTCAATGTGTGGAGCCCCAGTGGATGATATCTCTGGTGGATTTTGGGGGTGGTAGGTCAGGGGATTGGGCATGGCTTCAGAGAATAGTGGTGGTTGTGGTGTAGAAGCAAGTAGCGGTACTAGTTCTCAGAGAGAGGCAGTGGTTTCTGGGTTGCCATATCTGATCCAAATTTGTAGGGAGTGATTGGCCATGGTTAGAATTCTTTAAGAATATTAGTAATTTTTGTCGAGGATGGTCAGCAGTTTAGAACTTTCCTGGACTGTCTTATGGGTTTTCAAACACTTAGAATAATTAAGTCCTTAGTTTGAGTATTGGTTTATCCAACCATATAAGAAGTGTTTGTTCCTCAAAATTGGATAGGGTCACTTGTATGTTCAATTTCCCCTGATCAGGTTTTGTAGAAGCACATTTGATTAAAAATAGAATAAGCAGCTACAGTTTTATGTATGTGGTATAAAAAATACAGGTGGTAAAGCTATGGGGATATGAAAGCATATATACATTAGGTGAAACAATTCTCCACAAAAACGACTACAGCTTCTACAAAACTGGAAGACCCATTATGCATATAAGTCTACTGTTTTCATATCAAGTAACAAGTTACCTGCTTTTCCTCTCTGGAAGTACTGGTATCATCTTTCAACTCTCCCGGGTTTTTAGGAGCACCCTTGGAACCAGCAGCAGGCATCCGTACTTCCTAACATTCACAATGTATTATATAGTATTTTGCCTAACAGAAACATACATTCACCAAAATCGCAAGCTCAGGAGAGGTTTATAAGCAAGATAAAGAAATCTGATCAAAAGTATTCATGAGTATGAATACAGAAGACAATGCAAACCCTGAAACAAAAAGAAAGGAGGAAAGTCACCTGTATGGCAATGACATCAGGATCAATCTTTGACACAAAGTCGGAGAATTCGGGCCAGTTACTCTTGACTCGAAGAAGCAAACTATTAGCGTTCCATGTTAAGAACTTCAATGGCTCCTTCTTGTCGTTGTCGTTGGGTTTGTCGGAAGGTGAAAGACAAGGTTTCTTCGCTGAGCCTTCCTTCTCTATAGGTTTGAAGAAACGTTTCATTATTGGCTTTGATCAGATTTCATCAGACGGTTGTTGCTCTTTCGCGTCTTCAAAACGTCGGCCGTCAAAACCGCCGGAATTGGATCTGGTATCGGGCAAAATGCCGGCCCTCAAACCGCCTGGTAGCACAGGTGAACGTTAGGCTTGCTGGGGAAGCCGTTCAGCCCGTTTATCGCTCTTCCGCACATGCTCCTTCACGGAAGATTGCCTAGAATGCAGAATTGGGTGATTTGGAAAGAGGGTTAGGGCTCCATCTGCGAAACGACGTCGTTTATATTGATTTTTCATCCCTTCACTTTTAAAGTTGGTAAGCAGTTGGATCCCAAAACTTCATCTATTTCTCACGTTGGTCCCTGAAATAAAACACAATATTTTGTAAACTTGCAATTAAGTTCATCCTTGGCCCGTAAAGAGTAACTTAACTGGTTAATGATTTAAAATTTTAAATTTAAATCTTGAATTGAGTAAGTAAAGATTTAAGAAAAAAAGAAATTATCTTTATTATGTAATTCATTACCAAATGTGTTAAGAAAAATTAAGTTCTTTCTTTTTGTTTTTGTTTTCTTTAGTTTTTATTTATTTTTTGCTTAAAAGTATTTTCTTTTTATCTAAATTTTAAATTTTTTTTTATGATTTTAAAACAAATTTTGACAGCATTTAAAATTTTTGTAAATTAAAAATTAGATATTAATTTGTATGTTTTACTTTTTCTTTCGATAAAAAGGGAAAATAAAGATTGATCTATTAGAGATAAAGATCGCTCCCTACTATCGCCACTTTGTTTGGGTTTTCTCTAGCATTATGGACAGTGATTTTAGATAGGGGTGTTGTCTTCTCCGGTAAAAATCGTGTGGGTTAAACCTCTATAGCATTATCTATGGGAGTTTTATTAGTTGTTCTTGTCCTTCTGGAGATTTCTCCGATTAAAGTGAAGGGTTCTTCGAGTTGGATGAGTTAGCTGTCCGTAAGAAGTTTGTGATGGTGGGCGAGGGTTACTGTGCGATTGTCTGCAGTCAAGGTTGCTTTCAATGGCTTTGATTGTTGTTATCTGATTGCTAGAGGTGTGGCTATCCTTGGCCAGACTGTAACTCTATGGTGGAAGGGTGGGTAAGGTGTCGTTTGGTTTTGGATGCGAAGCTTGTTATTGGTATAGTGTGGTTTGTTTATTATGGTGGTGTTTGATGGGTGGACATCTTTTTTTTATGTTCTCAATATAGGTGATGCTTGCCATAACAAACCTACTATTAGTGTCAGGTGTGTGCCATGACAATGTAACTAATGTTTGAAGGGCAAGAAACTAATTTAGTTTTGATACATATTTGTTTTAAGTGTCTTTTTTTAGTTGTATCTATTTTTAAATTATTTTGTTTTCTAAGAAATTTATATGTTGTAGCAGATCATAAGAATTATAGATTGTTAGAGTGCCTCTTTGGAAGTAGAGATGTTATGTAATTGTTTTACCTCAATTATCAATACAAGATCATTGATCATAAAATAAATAAATAAATAAAAAAGAAGAGAGAAAAAAAAAGATAAAAAAAATAAATTGATTTTAAACTAAAGATAAAAAGAAATAAAATAAAATAAAATAAGATTTAACCTGCATGGCAGCTTTCTTCTGCTACCAAAAGATTTAAGTGTCAAAGAACATCATTTTTCCTCCTTTTGAAATGTAATGTAATAGGTATAGGCAAAAGTGACTATATAAAGAATTAGACCAACACAAGTAATACTTAGAAACTTTTAAAAATAATCTATTCAGCATCTAAAACTTTAATTAAAATAATTTATTAATTGTAAGAAAAATAGAAAATTATCAAATGTGGACATGGTACCTTGTGCGTGCAATTTGCATGGTTGTGTGTGAGGGTGCAAGTGGGAGGGTGTTGAAAGGTATAAGTAAGAAAAGGACGCTCTGTCTACCTAGACCATGACATTTGTGGTCAGTCATACTTCACCCATCATGCGCTGCATCTAACAATGTATAGATCCTTGATTGTCCAATAAAATCCAGTTCACCATGTCTGTCGTCAACCAAATTTCCCAAAGGTCTTAACGTTTTGTCCGAAATACCATATTTGCACGTCTCATAAAGATGTGATTCAAGGTTGCCAAAAAGAAAGAAAGAAAGAAAGAAAGAATGCAATGTCATAGGAAGGATAAAATGTTATGGCACGTTGGGGTGAATGTGTGACAACCCATCAGATGGGGATGTCAACGCTTAGAGTCATTAGGTGATTCTCACATCAACCAGGTATCTAATGGATCTTGGGTTTATAAGTACAAACTTACCGCCACCTTAGTGAGATCTTTTAAAGCCGTAAGACCCATTTTAAACAAATTAAAGTGGACAATATCATTAGTGATGTTCAAGTTTTACTTTGACAATGAAATATTATAAAATAAGATGTAATATCGTATTAGCATAAATATGTTTCATTGAATAATATATATAACTGATCATGAAATCTATTAAAGTAAAAATCGAACATATTTTATTTAAAAAATCATTGGTTACTAAAACTTTTGAGTAGTTAGTTCAAAAAACTGACCTACGTTGCCTAATTAATTGTCTTTATTTTGTTAAGAGTAGAGTTATACGCATTATATATTTATATTTTCGTTATGAGTTTTTCTAGCAAGGTTTTCATGAGGTAATTTAATAAAGTTTGTAATAAAGGGTAAAATATCTGAGAAGGAATATTGTGAGAATAAAATTTATTTCTCAGTGGACGTTTCTTTTTCTTTTTCTTTTTCTTTTTCTTTTTCTTTTCCTATCTTCCTCACCTCCCATTTTCAGCTTATGTCGTAATCCCTCACTTATTGAGTGATTAACCTTTGTAACTGCTCACTTTGTGGACCCTGTACCCTCTCATCTAATAAGTCTTTAGTCTTTATAACTCCTACCACTCACTTAGCTTACATATAGGGCTTGTAATCTTGTACAATTGATGAAAAATGCAGAAGAGAAAAGAAAAAAAAAATTACTTCTCTTACATACCTCTCTACGTCTCTCTAATTCATACTTCTCTTTTTTTACTTATTGCTTTCTTTTATGATAGTAAAAAAAATTTATTCCTGATCTTATTAATTAATGTTTGATGTATTAAAATGTCAATAAGGAGGTAATTTATTACAAATTACCTAATCTCAACAATGAATTAGATACTGGAGTGATAATCTCCAAACAATGATATAATTATTACATTGTGACATATTATTGTAAATTTACAATTACTAGCATTTTTCAACGTACTTTGCGGGTTATTGGGATGTATTTTTGGTTTTTTTTTTTTAATATAACTAAAAATTTATTGTTAAAAACAAATAATAAAAGAATATATTGGTTTGGGGTTTGAACTATATATGATTGCATAATATAAACTCTTGGATTAGGAGGGCTTTCGTTCAAAAGTTTATGTTTGTAGTTTGGTATAGTTATGACTTGAAAATAATTTTTTGATAACAAAATATGAAAACAATTTTTTGCCTCTAATAAACTACAATAAATAATTATAATATCATCAAATAATTTATTAGTTGTCTTATCTACTTTCTTCAGGCTTGTAACAGAATTAGAAGCCAAAAAGAGAGAAAACGAAACCTTGTAGTCTGGCACAACATAAAAGGGAAGCAACGTAGAATTCTAAATCCCATAGTTAAAGTCATGTTTTTGTTGACAACCAAGAGAAAATTGATGGTATTATGAGACTGCCAAAACTAACACAAATGTGAATACATTTACATAAAATCTAATTTCAAAAATAATGTATATGATCACAATTGGCTCTGGGTAATCATTTTCCAAAATTTAAAGATAAAAATAAAACAAACAAAAAAAAAATGACAAATCTGAGCTTGGCATGATGAAGTTAATGGTTGAAGATGGAACGGAGATGGTGAACAGTGGCTTTGTGGGAGAGCATTGGTGGAGAGAGAGTATAAAATGATAATTATAGAATCTACTAACTAAATGCCTTGACTTAAAGAAATTATAACTCTTGAAAGTTATGCCAACTAAAATGCTCTCCAAATTAAAGCAAAATTACAACCCTTTCACAAAAAATTACCATTCTCTCACAAAATCATATTAAATAGAGAAGAATCCGGGCTTTGGATGCTAGTGGTTTATCCTCAAACCTTAAAGCGTTGGAGTTATTTGGTTGAGGTTTCGACTCTCATTGACGTTTAGAAAAAATCCCTTCCCTCAATTCCGCAAAATTGTAAACTATTCAAAAAAAAAAAAAAATCAAATAGAGAGAGAGAAAGGTGTAGATTGTATATTACCCTCTTTATTATTCTTAAGATAATATATTATTATATGATTAATAGTTTTATTTGATGAATGAGTGATATCATTTAATATCACATTATCATTGTAAACTTTATAGTATTATAATTTAAAAAATAGAACATTACCAATAATCTAAATAAATCATTGGTAATTTTCTTTTATTGAAAGTTAAAGATCTTGAATTTGAGTTATATGACATATGGATAGAATGAGATCAACAATAAAAAAAAATTACTTTTTATTGTATAATCATCATAAAAAAAAAAAGGAACATTCCAAACATTTAAGATATTAAAGCTATTTGTAAAATTGTTATTAATTTATTAAAAATATTTAAATCTTCTTATTCCATGAGGTTATGATTTTCCTCTATCACTTGTTTTTTTGTTTTTTTCTTTTTTTATACACTCATCGATGACGTGTAATTATAGCATTTTCAATTAATCTGAAGGTCGGTGAAACTGGCTCACAAACACTCTTACTATTAAGGGTGGGATTTGTTGAAGGAAAACATTTCCCTCAAATTTTCTCTTTATAGGTGATTTATGTATATCTACACTTCAATATTATAATAAAATAAGGGTAAAAAAAATATTTTTTATTTTTATTTTTCTACACAATTCCTATTTAATAATTTACTTTTCCTTTCACACCTTTTTAAAGTCAAAGTTTCTTTTAATTTTTCTTGTATGAGACTTACTTTTTAACTTTTCTACTAATTTTTTTACATCAGTTTCTTACTAAATATACAAAATAAGATAAAATTAAAACTCAACAAAATTTTAACAAACTCTATTATAAAATATTTTAACTTTTTGTACAATAATTTTTAACTTTTTGTATAGTTTGACCATTTTCTTAATTAAACTTTTATATAATGTTTGAAGTAAAGATGCAGATTAAAATACCAATTTTGTTTTTTTTTTAATTTTAAAATATTAACTTTTTTTACTTTCTAAATAAAACTATCACTTTTTTATTTTTTTCTAAAAAAAAATGATAGTTAACTACCCCTTATTTAGAAACTTATTTAAAAACTTTAAAAATTTTAAAAATTCATATTTTTAAATAAAAAATCATGAAATTTATATTTTCATATGCTTAAACTTGGTTTAGTGGTACTACTCTATGATTGTAGTTATAAATTTTTTAATTTTTTAACATAACAAAAGTATATAGTAAATATATTCAATATTTATTTAAATTAATAATTTATAATATATTTTTAGGATGATAAAAAGATAAAAAAAAAATTAAAAACTAAAAGAACTGATAAGCATTCTCAAATGAATATGAAGGCTTAACAATGTTTGCCTCTCTACCCGAACACTCTGAAAGTAAAAAATTGACCATATTCCTTGCTTCAGTTGAGAGATTGGAGGGGTCCCCTGACTATGGGAATTGGAAAGCATGACCTTTCAAGCCTAGCGCCTAACTTCCACAAAAGACAACGCCACACTATAAAAAGTGAGAAAGCTGCCTCCACAGCACTCCATATTTCCATATTTCTCTCTTTCTCAGCCACAACATCAATTGCATGTTATCTTTTTCATCAAGGATTCTCGGATTCAACGTTCTTTTCTTCTTTAATTTCTCAGCATCCCACTATTTATTCCAGAATGTGAAAGGCACAGCAGAATTTTATTCTAAGACGAGTTATTTCAATATCATCAATAATCAAATACCATGGCTCCTTTGGATTTCAAAGAGATTCAGGAGAAGCTTTCCGCTCACTTGAAACCTTGGCAACGCTCCTTTCAGTTCTGGGTTCGAACAGTTGATATCTATACAGGCTACAAGGTCCCTCTCTAACCCTCTCCCTTTACATTCTCTCTCTGTCTGGTAATTTTTGTAGGTTTACTTAATTGTGGGTCTTTATTGGGTCATTGCCAGGTGTTCCAACTTCGAGTTAGTTTTGTGAAAGACGTGCAAAAGCAGGAGGCAATGTGGGAAAGGCAACATGAACTTGCTGCTGAGAAGATTTATGCCATGTGTTCTGACCTTGGTGGGTTCTTCCTTAAGGTAGTTTGAGCCATTTCCTTGTTAACTTGTTTGAAGTAAAATTATGTCAATTCAAATGGATAATTTTCTTTAGAGGTTTCTTCTTCAATATGTGATAACATTGCTTTACTGTTTTATTTATTGTTTGGTTTTTTTTTTGGGCCGAGTCCGCTGTCCTAGTGTCTAGTAAAGTGTTTACCTTCTTATTTTTAATGGGTGTTTGCTTTTGTGGTCTTTAAGTTTAATTAAAGAATGTGATTCTCTTACTTGTCAATTTGAATTTGGTTATATAGGTTGCTCAAATTATTGGGAAGCCAGACCTAGCCCCAGCTGCATGGGTGAGAAAGCTTGTTAGGTTATGTGATCATGCACCTGCAACACCATTTGATGCAGTTCAAGCCCTACTGGAGAAGGAGTTAGGTCAAAGCATTGGAGATATCTTTGAAAAGTTTGATGTGAATCCTCTTGGTTCAGCTTCAATAGCCCAGGTACTCTGTCAGCATCTCTACATGCTTAATGTGTGTTACCAAGGGCTTAGGAATGAATGGTCAAGTTACAAGTAGGCAAATTATTTCTTTGTTTAGCTTTCAGAAACCTTTTAGATCTGTTACTGCTTCTGAAAACTCAGTTGGAAAATAGCGCTGAAAATAATACTGTAGCACTTTTGATGGCTGTGGGGATGTACCTGAGATGTTCAAATGCTGTGTCTTCATCAGGTTCACCGTGCAAGACTGAAAGGTGATAAGAATGATGTTGTTGTCAAGGTAAGATCCCTTTGCATACAATTTATTTAAGCTTTGTAGCATCCATGAGATTCTAACTGTTAAGCTTATGGTAGGTGCAACATCCTGGAGTCCAAGATCTGATGATGACAGACATCTATAATTTGCAGGCTTTTGCTTTATACATGCAAAAGACAGATATCAAATTTGATCTGTATTCCATCACAAAGGAAATGGAAAAACAGGTGCATATTATCTTTTTCCATATTCCTTAATATTTCTCCTCATGTTTGGTGGTTTGTCTTCTCAAAGAGGTTTTTCATTCATCCAATTTTGGATGATAATAATGGAAGATAGGAGGGAAGTAAAGAATGATGGCTTTCATTCTTAGTACTGAGTGGTGTAGCATTAATCAACACTCAACTTTTGTCATGTCTCGGTTTTTTTCAGTCAACTACTCTTCTAAGATTTGCAGTGAACCATTTCTATTAATCAAAATTTGATTATGTCCCAACTGGTCGATGTCCATCACATTCTTTTTTAAGCTGTCTCTTGTAAAAGTAGCCAAGTGAACTTATTTTTCTTCATTGGTAGAATTTTCAAAAAATTATTTTTTCCTCTTATTCTGGATAAATGAGTATGAGCTTGAAATATTATGCGGTCAATGCCTTGTGTCCATTTTGAATGATAGGATAGGAAACTTATGGTTATACTTCAGTATTGCATCAGATCACAATACCATAATCAAGATCCTGTTCCATTATGAAAATTTGACATTTTCATGATGCATGTAAAAGTTAAATTCATCTCCAACCTTGAAGGTACATTTCGAAAGCTTTATATTTTGCAAACTCAGATATATTCTAAGCAGTGATTTTAAGGAGTAACTTCTGCTAACTGAATCATGCCTATCTAAAGTACCCTTCTACATGGCTTTAAATTCCATTAACTCTGGACATTACTGTTTATTAACTTATTGCTGTCTATGCTATTCAAGATTGGTTATGAATTTGACTTTACAAGAGAGGCCAATGCCATGGAGAGGATTCGACATTTTCTGTATGAGAATAACAAAAAGAGTCCGGTTCTGGTTCCAAGACTGATACGGGATTTTGTTACGAGGTACATTATGATGCCTCATGTTCTTGTCCTCTCTGCACTTGCATGAGTAAATTATTTATATCTCTTACGCTCATCTCACTAACTGCTGGATAATTCTAACTTTAGAGGTTATCATGGCTTATCCAAGAATATTTGACAAATATGTCTAAAAATGCATCTGGTAAGTTAGATGTATGTGTTTTCTTTATCTTGTATTGTCTCTTATCAAGTTGATTGATTGAACGGTGTAAAATGGGATGCAGTTTTTCGTTCTTTTATTTTATTTTTTCTTTTTTAGTTAAGAAAAAACTTCAATAACTGAATGGTAAACAAGCTTAAAATCCATGTTATTCCTAAATTTTTATCCCCATTTATATTTTTAACTTTAGAAGAAATAATTTGGAAATAGTTGCCTATGAATTTGAAGGTACCACATTTGAGGTTGGGCCCAAAGATCTGTTTTTGAATTGTTGAATAACATCAATTTTCATGCTTTGATTGGAGAGGAGGAAAGACCTTTGAAATAATGGAGCTGCAGATGTTAAACCAGCAATTCAAAAGCTTAGGATAAGCTTGTGATACCATGGTCTATAGTTCATGCAGTTTGTGAGGGAAAAGAAAAAAAAAAAAAAAAAAAAGAAGAAGAAGAAGGAAGGATTGATTACCTAACTCTATATGGTCTCAATCCTTAATGCCTTATTGCTAAAATGATAATAAGCTATGGTTTCTTCCCAACTCAATCATTTGAATGTTTCATATGTGCATCTATTACATGTGGGACTTTGACTTATTTTATTATGATCAGTGGACTCTTATTTCTTTTTCCTGCATTTTGCAACCTGGTCATGGAATGCCTTGTCTTTACTTCAAACTGCAACCAAGGCAAGGGATTTTGGCCAGAAATAACTTCAGGGGACTACAAGCAGTATTTTGACTTACAGACAAAGACTTTATTGCTATTTTCAATGTTGATAAAAATTGTTATTTAGTTTTTTTTTTTTTGTAAGACTGAGTTTATTTAATGTTTCAACTGGCAAGGTGAATTTAATTAATTTATGCTGTTTTCCTTTTGTCAATAACCTTATGATGCTTTGTCATCACTACTGTCAACTAAGTAGAATGTTCATCTATTTAAACAGAAGGGTCTTAGTGATGGAATACATTGATGGGATCCCAATCCTGAATCTTGGCGATGAACTAGCAAAAAGAGGAATAAATCCTGCTGGTAAGATGGCAGCAGCAGCAAAGCAGTAAGCACCTAGTCATCCCAGAGAGTATGGAGTTCATTTGTCCTATTCCTTCTTACTTGAATAATAAATTGCTATTAATTCTGTGCTATCTACTTTGTTTTTCCTTTTTCATATGTATTTGTATTTGCCCAAGTCTTCAAAAGTTGGCTTGTCCTAACATTTTCTTGTGACCTAGAACTTGTCATTTGTATTTTATGCTGCCAAAAAAAAAAAAAAAAAAAAAAAAAAAAAGAACTGTCATTTTTTTGCTCCTTGGAGTTCTTTACTTTCCCTTCCTAGTTTTTTGGATGCAGGTAATGATGTCTTAAGATCGTTTACCCTCCCTGGAAAGAGGATAAAAATGGCTTTCATGTGTTTATTTATCAGAAATATTTGTCAATTTTCTCCTATCCCTATCTCTCTGCTGCTTGGTAATTGGCTTGATGTAGGTCTTCAAGAGAGAGCTTTTCTAAATGCAGGAACATACTTAAGAGCTTGACACTAGCATATGGACAGATGATACTGAAGAGTGGCTTCTTCCATGCAGATCCTCATCCAGGAAATATATTGATCTGTAAAGGTTCAGAGGCAAGTGAGCTACTACCATTTGTTTCTTTGTAGGCTTTTTCATAATTTGCCTTTCCTTTTTGGCTATTATATAACATGCTCGTGGTTGGCTAGAATATAAGAAAGAAATACAATTTATGAAATAGGAAATAATATGAGTAAGAAATAGATTAGTTTTATTTTTGAGAAATGTCTTGAAAGCTTGCGGGATGCTTGAGGTGTCAGCACATGAGGGAAGTGCTGATACCATGTCATGAGGAGAAGAAATGAAATTGCTTGAGTGTTGACACCAAGAAGGACTCTCGACACCATGAGAAGCGGAGAAGCTAATAACTCTTTGTATCAAAAGTGTGCACACCTAGTATAGGGGTGTCGCCACCGTATCGGGTTGAAGGTTTCTTCATTTGTTGAGCATCAACAAGGTTGGGGTGCTATCAACACCTCAAGGAGGATTGTGGATTGATGATGTGGCATCCTTTTAATGAGGGATTTGGGCTTCATTCATTCATTCATTCATCAAAACACCCAAACTTAGGAATGCATCTAAATATATGTTGTTAGCTAAACCTAAGACTAATACTGAGAGGTTTAGTGTGAGTCTTCTATTGAGGAGTGTGAAAACACTTAACAAGTGAGACACTTAGTGATTAGAGAGAGGAGAAACAACAATAGAAGCTTAGTGTGAGTCACCAATAGCATGTGGGAAACACAAAGGGAGAGTGTGTGAGTTTGAGAGATTCCTTTTTTGAGATTGAGTGAGAGTTGTGAGAATTCGGGGATAAAAATTGGAAGGATTGTCTCCCAAGTTTGATGTACTCTTGCTTTATGGTTGATTTCTCTCATTCTCCAGTTTTTTCCCCAATTGGGTTTTCCACAGAAGTTGGCATTGATCATTTTATGCATTTGATTGACATATTAATCCTTTGTTTCCACACATTGATTGACTGTGAAAACCTAACATTTAGAATTATCAAACTTTGCATGTTGATTGTGCAACTATTAGCTTTCATTGATATCCCTTTCCTTCTTAAGTTAGGTTGCCCTGTTGGACTATGGCCAAGTGAAGGATCTCCCTCACCAGTTGAGGCTTGGATATGCCAATTTGGTTCTTGCCATTGCTGATAATGATCCTGTAAGAGCAACAGAAAGCTTTAGGTAACTAAATAAATGCTTTCAGTAACTTCACAATATGTTCTATCTATAAAAGTCATTTGTTTTCCAAGCAAAGGAGAGATACTTGGGCTGAATTGGCCAGAAATTGGTTTTAAGTCTACATGGGTGTGATTTACATTTGTTGGCTGATCCTCATGAATTTAGTGAGAAGTTTGATCGTTCTTCTGTTTGACATTTATACTATTAACATTTCAGCATATCTTATTTGGATGGATTGTGTTGTCTTATTCTCTTTCTAGGGAGCTTGGCATTGATACTGTAAGCAAATCTCCTAATGAACAACAGGATATGCTTGAGTTGGCACAGACAATGTTTGATACAAAGCTACCCCCTGGAGTGTCAATGCTACAACCTTTCTCTGAAGAATCTGTGATTCAAAGAATTTCCATACCGGTAAGCAATAAACCAACCCTTTGACTAAAAATTAATAAATACAGCAAAATAAAAAATTAAAAAATTATTAAATTGATCTTTATTATTTGTTCATAGTTTCATTTTATTGTCTGAAGCAAGAACTGTTGCTTACAAAATTCTATTGTAGTAATGATAGTTTTTCTTATATATGATAGATGGTTTGGGGGATATTGGATTATCTAAAGCTGTTGGCCTGTAGCATTTTGCTTCATTCCAGATACAGAATTCTGATGTTCCTAAGACCTAAACTATAGTTAATTATATAATTTCAGGAAACACGACATTTATTTTGAAGGTTGAATAAATTCCTGTTTCTTAGCAGTGTTTCATATTGAATTTCATGCCAAAAACATAGAACAAACATAACAAGATTGATAGTTTCATATTCATAATTCTACATTACTGAAGGCTTCTTGAACATGTTTGGGTAAACTGAGCCCTCCCTTCACCTAGCGATGTTATTATTTGTGCTGGTTTGTACTTACATATTCTATAGCAGAAGATTTATTTTTTGGCCAAGCAGTGGCACAAGATTGAGGATAAGAAAGGCTGGATCATATTCTTGTGTGCTTATCAATATAAAACTCTAGTTCTGATTTGGTTGTGGCAGGCTTTTCCAGAGGAACTGTTTTCTGTTCTTCGCACGGTACATCTTCTCAGAGGACTTAGTGTTGGTCTTGGAATTAACTTCTCATGTGCTGAACAGTGGAGACCCATTGCAGAAGAAGCTTTATATTTAGCTGGAAGGTTAAAAGGTGGCCCCTTTGAACCCTAAGTTGAAACAAAAAGGCTATTTCTCAAGACATTATACTTTTATTTAGATAAAAGGCAGAATTGTTTGAATGGCTATAAATCATATGGTTATTCAAAAAAAAATTGTCATTTTAAATTAAAGCTTTAGTTTTCTCAAAGAAAGGTGAGCTGCTTGCACCCTTGGTATTATAGTGAAATCATCCTCATTGTCTCAAAGAAATATCTTTTGCGTTGTTACCCTACTCATTTTTTGAATTGCTCTACCTAAATGGACTGTTCTCTAAACACCTATTCAAACTTTGCCAGAATCGTGTGATTAACATAGATTATTGAACTTTTCCCTGAGTAATTTATTCATTGTTGATGGTCCTATTACAGGTATAGATAGAAAGACTAAAGTTCGCAGGCACAGTCACTTCAGAAGACTATGAAGAGATGCATATGCTTGAAGATTAGGTTAGTATAAATTAATTTGTTACAGTTCATCAATTTTGTGAATTTGTTTTTGTACTGATTAATTTTTCTGTCTACTACCTCCTTTTTTTTTCCTTTGATGTAGAAATTCAATTAATTTGTAAAGAGTTCACTCCATTGGCACCTTCATTCATGATTTTCTCCAGTTTTTTCTTGGTACAACATAAGCAGAAAAGGCATACAACAATTCTTGGATGATAAGTGATTAACAAAGCAATAGGTAGAATTACAAAAGGCTGTAGCAGCAGCCATGTAGGTTGAGAACATGTATTTTGCATCAAAGATGATGGAAATCATCAATTAATTCTGTCTAATAGTTTGTTACTCCTTTTTGGGATGCAATAGCTTTATGACATACATGGTATATATTATGTAGCCAGTGCACGCCGGTAAGGCAAGAATAATGCTGATGCTAAGATGAGGTGCTAATTCAATTATATGGCTCTACTGAAATATGCTATAATTTTTGATAAGTTTCTCTTATCTGAACTGAAACCGTTAGAAGTTTGAAAATATGGTGGAATTTGGTTGAGCATGTAGCAGGAATTATTTAGGTTAAATAATCAAATGAGTCCCTGCTCTTGTTCAGAGGTTCAATTTAGTTCTTTGTATCTTTTTGTTTCAATCGAAGCCCTTCCATGTACTACTGTCTTCCTTTAATCCATATTCTTTTATTAATCCAAGTAAATCCATACTCCCTCCATCTCAAATTATATGTTAGGGTAAAGCTTTTTATATACCATATCTTCATATGAATAGTAATTAAAAATATTTTTTATCAAATGAAACTATTAAAAAAGAACTAAATATTAGAAAGAAAAATTTTAATTGTTATTTATATGTTGTATAAAAATATTATTTAAAATTACGTATAAGTTAATTATATGGTGGCAAATAATTTGAAAGAAAGAGAGCATTAACTTTGCTGAAGTTCTTTGATGATTATATTAAGGATTCGGAATTGAATCTCACCTAAAGGGACTAGAGTGAAAGGTAGATGAAAAGGTTAGAAAATAAATAAATTAGTAAATCACAGTCGTCCAACTTCATAATTCTCTAATTAGATCAACCATCTAATTACCGGCACATACACAGGTGGCAACGAGCCAACAACACAACGGCGAAGAGAGGATGGTCATTGGACAACAGGGTGGGATAAAAAGTGAAAAGAAGTGAGGTTAGTTGTGGTTTCCTCTTTTTTTTTTTTTTTTTTTTTTTAAGTTGACATATAATAAGGTGAACCATGAGTGAGATGGTTTTAGGGCATGCTGCTTCAATTAGATAATTAGAATGTAAATGGTTAGTGACGGAAAACTCATGAAGACGATACAACGAAACCTAATATTTAACAACATTTTATAGTGATGAATCACCGAGCGTTCATCAAGAAAAATAGAATTATCTCTAATTTACATGGAGTTTATTTTAAATAAACTACAAAAAAGGGTAATTTGATTGAATAAAGTAGTGGGAAATTAGATAAATTTGCATGTATAAAGCTTAAATACAAACGAAAAAAATGACATAACTTTAGGGAAAAATGTATATTAGTTTAACTCTTAAGAAAATTAAAGTTTTAACTTTAAATTACGTCATTTTATTTAATTAAAATTTAATTTAAAATTTAAAAATTTATCTTATTAAATATTGATATTTAGATTTAAAAATTAATTAAATTTCTAAATTTTGAATTGAAATTTTAATTTTTAAATATAAATTAAGATTTTAATTTTTTAGAATCGAAATTGATATGCATTAACTTCTGACTTTATTTATAAACTAATGTCTTTTTAAATATACATCTTTACAAAAGGATGTAATTAAACATAAGAATATATCGCACCGAGCCCTTCGGACCAAGTGGTAATAGCCACTCATGATGCATTCTCCCCTCCCCAAGCTAGGGTTCAAACCCAACCCCTTGTAAAAATCTGTTCAAAAAAATAAAACATAAGAATATATCATTACGAAGAGTTAAGACTATTTATTTAGTACTTTTCATTTATATTATAAATTAAGGACAACAGCAGTGATGAGATTTAAAAAGAAAGGAAGAAAAACGTTATAGTTTGATTAAATGTCAATTTTAGTCTTTAATTTTTTAATTTTAAAGATGTTTAGTTCTTAAATTATTTTTGTATTTTTTTATTTTAAATTATGAAAACTTTACTTTTTTTTTAGTATTTCTATTAATTAATCTTATAAATCTATTTATATATATACACTTTTAGGCTTAATTTTATAAATTTAGGAGTTAAAACTGTGTATTTATATTATAACTTTAATAATTAAAAAATTATATAAATAAATTTAACAGACTAAACTAATATAAGGTTTAAATAAAAATGTATTTTTCATAATTTAGAAATATAAAAAATTCAAAAAATAATTTAAGAATTAAAAATATTCTAAATTAAAAGTTTAACAATTAAACATTAACGCTTATCTTCTTTTCCATTAGGTGGCCCCACATCGCCAAAAGAAATTCCGAAAACGATTCCCTTCCCGCTCCTTCTACATTTCAGACTAAGTCTTGGCGCTTAATCCCCCATTCTTTTTCTTTTCCATGAGAATTCCCTCTCCAATCTCGAAGAAACAGAGAAATTGAGGGCAGATCGATCATGTTTGGGAGAGTAAGAGCACCCTCGTCATCGCCGGAAAGCTTGGAACGGCCACCTCCCAAGATCATCAAAGACGATCCTCTTTCTGTATACGGTACCATTGTTCTCTCAATCCCTTCTTCTCTGCATCATTTTGCACTTTGAAGTTCATAAACTCAAATCGTAGAGTCATTGCAATATGCTCGTCGCCATTCATTTCCATTTCTTCAGTTCCTCTTCGTTCTGTTGTCTTCTTGTTCAAAATAACTTGAGTTTCAGCAATCTTGGTAAATAGGAATCAAGAAATCGCAGAAAACATCTACCTAATCAAGAGCCTGACACTGATACTTGACTTTGATGGGTAACAGGGATGAATTTAAATTGGTGTTGTTGGGTTTTGGAACAAACTTGGTGATTCTTATCCCAAGGAAATCCAAAACCCTAGTTTACTCTCGGCTTTTAATTAGAGTTTGATTGAATATTTACTCTAGTCCTTAAAGTTTCTTGCTTTTTCTTGAAATATTCATCAGGACAATAGATGGTTGAATTCTATGCCTTAGTCTGCAAAAATCCTTTCTGCTGTATTGAACTGCTTCCACTAATGGTTTTTTCTCCTCCTGAAATTTACTCTACTCCCTCAAACTCACATATTCTGGATTCCTGGAACATGTCTTTGCTAAGGCACAAAGCTAGCGCCCAATGATATGGAGAAAAAAATTCAAGACCTGAATAGCCATATGGCCCTTATTAATTTGTCTTCCAGTTTTTGACCACATTCTAAAGTCTTGTCTGCAACACCTGGATAGATTTTCTCTCTAAACATTACATTGATGAGATGTTTGATGGCATTAAGTTTTCCACAAACTATTTCTTACTAATTCATGTGCGTGATTGTTCTTTTTAACTCAAATAAGCTTTTATTGTTCCCATAAACAATCATGAAACGTAAGTGGTTTCTGTTTCCTATATAAGTACCCCATTCCCAATTCAAATTGTCCATTGTTCTATAACATTAAGGTTACCATATTTCTGGTGCATGAGACTGCAGGCTGTAATTATATGATGAGATATTGTTGCCCAGTCCTTAACCCTTTGCAAACGACAATGACAAGCATTAGGTTCAATGTTATAGTAGTTTTGACAGGAATCCAGTGGCTTTGATGTTAGAATTCAAATGTTGATTCTATATGCTCATCCTAACTCAATTATTTTAGTTAGCTTGTACATCAATAGTAAGAGTATGAGTGGTTTCAGAAACATGCTGAAGAACACAAACCTTTTCATTTCACACTTCCATAGCTGCTAATCTTCTTGCTTTGTTTCAGTAACTTTCATTTCTTTGTTGCAGAGGCTACACTTGTTTCATTGCCTTGTTAGAATTCAAATGTTGATTCTATATGCTCATCCTAACTCAATTATTCTAGTTAGCTTGTACATCAATAGTAAGAGTATGAATGGTTTCAGAAACATGCTGAAGAACAAACCTTTTCATTTCACATTTCCATAGCTGCTAAACTTCCTGCCTTGTTTCATTAACTGTCATTTCTTTGTTGCAGAGGCTACACTTATGAAGCTTAGAGTAGGTTCCCAACGTCATCTACATTCACTTCCTGAGGCTGCAAGAGATGTAGATGGTGATTGTTCTTCTGTTACTGTTTCAGAATCTCCTACGAGTCCAAGCTCACCATGTGCGGAGATGATGACTATAGAATCAAATCATATCAGTGCAAATCTCTTAAGGAGTTCTGAAAATGTTTCATTGAATGAGGAGGTGATAATGATGGATACAGATGATTCTGTTGAAAGTGTTTCTCTAACTTCTAGTGA